CCGGCCTGACCATTCCACCTCTCCAGCCCTGACTACGCATGTGTGTTCCTGCACATACTAATATTAGTGGAAGACTGTGCGTTTTATATATAATAATAAATTGTATTGTTATTATATCATTCCTGAAGCCTGTTACCTCCCTGTGTCAGTCCACACGTTTCTGGTCATACCAGATCCCTGACACCACCCATCTGTATCTAGACTGGTCTGTGTATAATTATAAAATGAATGTACAGTATTGTGCTATGCATAATTGCTTTTTTTTACGATTAGTACTTTTATGACTTTAAAACCATAAAAAATGAAATATGAAAAAATGAAATATTGCAATGATACTTGTAGTGGTGAGCAGGTGCCAACTCTGTTCTCTGAAAGCTCCTTATAGCTATTGTGCTAAAAATAGACTTGATTGACTCAAAGGAGAGACACACCCTCTTTTCTTATGGCACAGATGGCCATATTTTAATTAGTTACGCACAGCTACCAAAATATAGAAAGCCTTCAAGCAAACTGAGTGTCAGGGATGCACCGTTTTATACTTGTGTTAAAGCTGATCTCCAACCTTGCCTTCAATCTTTCAGTCTTGCCCAATTGCACAAGCTGCACAGCCATACTGAAATGCTTTTTCTGAGTTTCCTGGAGGATATTCAGCATCACTTAACCCTCTCCTCTGCAGTCTTACTGTCTCTGGCCGACCCTTTTATTATTTGGATTTCAGTTTTTAGAGACTCAGCATCATGTGGGCATTACCAGTGACAGTCTGTATGCACATGAAGCCTGACAAAGATCTCCTATTTTCTTGCTATGTGTTTTGAAGGAGCATAAACATTTTTTTTAATAGTTTATCAACAAAGTCAGAGCTTGACATTCTATTTTTTCTGTATGCCCGTATTTAAGGAACATAGTTATTTAGGCCACATGCATGTTGACATGATTTCCTACCTTCACACTCTTGCTTTGCTGCTAAACTTCACCCCATGCTATTACACTGTGAGGATTATTACGTGTCATAAAAAGATCCTGTGCCTGTTGTGGAAGACAAATGATCTCCTACTTACAATCCAAGAATAATAGTTTCATACAATACTGAGCTTGGTAAGTAGACTTAACTCTTATATGGAAACATTGTACAATTGGAACATACAGTTGCAGTATTAATGCAGCTATATTTGGTTTTCCTGAACAAAAACAAAGTAAATTGATCAAAAATAATTTGCTCTTTTAAACTTAAGACTGCATGCTTTGTCTCTGCAATTTCTGGATATTTTGAGACCTGTTCCCTGATCTGCCATTCTTATAACCTATATATAAAGTTAACCCAATTTTACAACCAGTTTGTATATAAATTGGAAATATATATTTTAAGCTAGCTGTTCTCAACCTTTGTGGGAGCAGGGTGTGGTAAATTGATCCAAAACCTTTAATGACCAAGAAGGTAAAAAAAAAAAAAAAGTTTTTTATACTCATTCTATACATGCATTCTGGGACTACCTGTACTTCATCAAATATGAAGAGCTTATTGCTATACTATAATCTGAGAAAACACTTCTATAATTTCACCTCATTATTCTGAATAATTGCTGAATAACCTTCCAGGTACATGGGTGTTATCTCCACTCCTGCTGCTGTCTTGGTTTTAAGATCCCTTCTAGCTCCATGCAGAGTAGTGTGCTGTTGAAAACTGTAGTTTTTCTGGAACTGTAGCAAATTTACATTTGGTTAAGGAGCCTCTTTGGCACCCACCTCACCACATCCCATTCCCTTTGGTCCTATTTCTTTACCCCCCACCACCACCACCTTATGTTCCTGCTTCCTCCTACTTTCCAACCTTTGCCTTGGTCTGTTTCTTCCCTTCCCCTCGAACACTAGCTCAATGCTCTTCCGTCCTCATACCTTGCAGTTCCACTCTTTATACAAATGCCCCCTCCCCAACCTTTTTTTTTTCATGTGGCCACTCCAGGCCCATCTAAAGTAAGCATTATTTCACTCTGCACTGGCTATATGGCCACTGATTTCTATGTGACATTGCTTTGATGGTTCGTATGCTTTGTTATCTTTAGTTCGTTAATATGAGTCAACCTCTGTACATTAGAGAGAGCAATTCTTCACCCCTTGTGGATCACTGTTCCATTAGCATTGTATCTTGGTTGTGTTCTGTTATGATACTGTCTGTTATTCTGTATAGAGGGTTGAGGCTTTGTACAAATGCTCTCAAATGTGCTTTCTCAGGCTGTGTATGTGTATATTTTCCCTTGTTAATTTTTCAGTAAAAACAAAGTGAAAGAAAAATGAAAAAAATCTCTGACAGGCCGGGAGGAGGGCTGAGCAGAAGTGACAAGCAGCAAAGATGCGATCCTGAAATGAGAGCTATTGCTATTGCTTGCTTGGAGTCCGTGCAGGGAGTTAGCAAAGCTGTGATATCAGCAGTGGCATTGGGATTTTCTACATTAAAATGAACTATACTGATAAAAGAGTTTGTGAACAGGCAGGTTTTTGATACAAAAGACAGATAATATATCTCGCTTGCATTAAAATATTCTTACCAGCCTGTTTGCGCCATACACCGAGCCTGCATGTACAGCTCAGTGTACAATTTCAGCATCTGCTGAGATGAATGTACTGCTGCATACACTTGGAAGTGACATCATCTTGGCCAAGCCTATCAAAATGGACAAAGGTCAGAACCCAGAAGAAGACTGGCCAAAGATGTCCAAAAGTAACCTCCTGGATGCCACATCACTGGAGTGGAGGAGAGTATAGTTCTACTTTAAATAATGTTCAGTACCTGACAGCACATGTGGTCAGGAATACCTGAAAAAGCCAGACCTGCTTACATCAGGCAGGTGCAGCTTTGTAATTCCACATAGCCCCCAGAGCCCAGTACTTGGTGTTCTTTCAAGTAAAAACCCTGACAAATTAATCCCCCCCAGATCCTGTTCATATTCCCCCCCCCCCTTATCCTTCCACCGGTGCTAAGTAACCCAAAGCTACAAGCTAGTTGCAGTGTGCATGAGGTACCAGAGAAGAAATGGTAGTGGTGATGCTGGGTCAATGCTACCTAGTCCAAAGAGAGCCCTACAACTTTGGCTTCTTGCCAATAACCAGCTGGCAAGATGATTGTGACAACAGTAGGTGTCAGACTGAGACCCGGCAGAAGGGAAAGAACTTTAATGGTACCTACTGGGTGGACATAAAAAAAGAAATAAGCACTGGCTCTGCAAGTAGGTGCCAAGCTGCAGAATGGGTGGCCCTGCAGGAGGAAAGTTGTGACCCACAGCATACTGCAGTACATTGGTTAAGAAAAACTAAGCCATTTCTAAACCTCTTGGCGCTGGCGCCTCCCAGCCCCTTAAGGGTTTCAGAAGCCGGGAGCGGGGCAGGGTTTTTAGGGTCATGTGACCACTGTGATTCACTGTCACGACGGTCACATGATCGGGAAAGGCCCCGATCGAAAGAGGAGATCGGGACCTTTTCGTGAGTACCAGACATGTGTGCTGGGAGTGTGCAGGGCGCTCGCTCTCAGCACATATGTTTTTCTTAATTGCATGCAAATGTGCGGCCGCTCGGTGTCGAGGCCCAGACACCGGGAAGACGCACATTTGCATGCGGCCGGCACCAAGAGGTTAAAGGATAAGTTCACGTTTTTAAAAAAAAAAAAAAAAAACCTCACTTCTTTTACAGGTAAAAAAAAAGTGCATTTACTATTTTTGTACACCGCAGTTTGTAAGACGTTGCACCTGCAATCAACAGATCAAGGGTGCAATGCCTGGATCTTGCAGACACTCAGTAAGCTTTCTACCCATGCCTCACTGGGAACTCACTGGGATGCTTTCACACGCAATAGCTGATGGTTCTTGTAGGCATTAATTCACAGGAAAATGTGAATACGTAACACAGCCGGGTGGGCGGAGCCGCGCATGCCCGTGCTGTTTTTACATTGTGATAATGGGTGCTGGGAGAAGGTCCCCCTGCCTGCTGTCACAGGGAGGGGGGGATCAGGAGGGAGAAGAGACCGGAACTGGAACATGTTACATGTTCTACACTGAATATGGTAGGAATATGCTGGTGAACTTGGGCCTTTAAGCAGTCTCCCCTCTTTGTAAACTTACATAAAATTGACAATGCAACTACTTCAAAAGCTGTTAGTCCAAGTGACAGAGTTAATAGCATTTTACTATTACATATTTATATGGAAAAAAAAACATCTTTCAAGACTTTTTCATTAGATTGCTAAAAAGGCTGATGGGCTCTGAAGACCTGTTATCCATAATCACCAGAGAAATTTTATAGACAGCAACAGTGATTACAGATGGTAATTTGTGTCATTTACCTTGTTATAGACCAATGGATGTGACAAACTTGGGACAAACCATCTGTCACACACTGTTAATTTTCTAGATATGGGATTTGAGCACTGCACAGGGTGGTTGTTGATGAAGAAATAAACAAGCTCACCAATGACATCAAAGCTTTATGAGGCTTGATACTGCACAAAGTAAGAAGCTGGTTGAGTACAGTCTTCTATCTGAGGAATAGTGTTTTACAAAAGAACAGCATGTATGTTAAAACATAAAGACATGACGTATTCCTACTCTCTCCTGATTTCAAAAGCGTTTTTATAATGCTCTATGGAAAAAGAGAAGATATGCATTTCCTTTTACCACTCCATCCTGCTCTCCAACATCATAATATAGAACGATAGTGGATTTTAAAAGTGTAAGTTGTATTATTAATAATGGTAAAGAATAAGACCCACTTATCCACCTTGTAGGAAACTTCCCTGTAAACTTCACTTCTAATATCCCAATGGTTCCTATTGACATAAGACTACCATCACCTTGACCAATTAGCATACCGTATATATGGCTGAGCAGCCTGTAACCTTTCTGGATACTCCCTGACCAAGTGTTCTCAATAGATAATGCCTTCCCAAAGATATGGTAATGCCATGGCTGTCCTACTCTCCCCCTACATACATGCATGTTTCTGGAATATCTTTTATCCACAATAGTAACATCAGTCTGTATATGCAGTAAAGCATGCTTGTTATGCTCACTGTGGAAGTAGTTAATCCTCTGCATTGTACAAAAACACAGTTTGATCCTCTCTTCTCTGATCCTCCCTTTCTTCCAGTACCCCCCTCTTATCTCCTGATAAGACATATCGTGTGGAGTAAATCTGCACATGCTCAGTTTGGTGTGTATTGCCAGAGAGGTTTTTTTGGTTTTGTTTTTCTTGGGAGAGTGCATGTGATTAGCACAGGGCCAATCAACACTGTCCAGACAGAGGTCAGGGGTCCTGCATCTTCATGTAGCAGAATGAAAACTCCTCCTACTAGCTTTAACAGGTACTTTGCTGGACACTGATAGAAGACACAAAACTGTTCTAACTTCTGATGAGAAAAGGTATTTAGCAGTTTGTATTTACTAAAGTAATAAAATTTCCATGTTCTGTGTACTGTGGGAGACCAGATATAGTGATTGCAGGGTCCTGGGTTTAGAAAAACCTTAAGAACTGCAACATTGAGGTCTTCCATAGTGTGGTCTGGTTGTGAGAAATGATGTCCCACAAGTGTGCAGTCAAGTGTGTAACAAAGATCATTTTGCTACATTTTTTCATTGCATAAGGTACACAACCTTACTGGAGGTGCAGCTGTATGATCCAGTAATACTGAAGGTCCCCTTTCAGCGTGTGACACTTTTTGATTGATTTGGTTGCACAATTTGCATTGTTTTTTATTGCAGGGTTTGCTTCCATTATATGTGACTTCATGAACAGAATGAAGTTTCCTGTTGATTAGTTTATGTTTAAGGTTGGGTGGTTGTCTGAAAGCCAATATTGGGGGTTGCTGGAGTATTTATTTTAGAGTTTCATCCTCTGTTATGATGGGTTCTAAATGTTAAGTTCTCTTTCTTATCACTTCTAGTGCTGGATTTATATATGGTTACTAGAGGTACACAGTTACCGTACTTTTTTTTTCCTCTTTGTATTGGAGTAGATTTTCAGTTTTGGGTTTTCAAAGCTGTGTTTATGCTGGTGTTGATGGTTTTGTCCTTGTAACCCTTCTTATGGAAGGAGTCTGCTAGGGATGCACCGAAATTCCGGTGGTCGAAACGTTTCGGCTGGAAGCACCCCTTTTGACTGTCGGCTAAAATGAAAAAAAGTACTGATACAGGTGCCAAAAAAATCCCGCCCCTCGCCGCCCAGGGCCGCTGCTCGGTAGTTCAGTCTTACCTGAGAAACCATCGATCCCGGTGCTGGGCATAGAGATAAGTGAAGGAAAGATTGCCGCCACACATCTCTATGCCATTGGAGGACCGGAGCGATGTCACTTCCGGTTCCGGACATTTTTTTTTAAATGCCTTTTCTGATTCAGTGCATTACATTGCAGAGGAGAGATGTGGGGTCTTATTGATCCCATATCTCTCCATAAAAAGGACCTGTCACTAATTATTTCTATCACAAGAGATGCATGCATTCCTTGTGATAAGAATAAAAGTGATTACAATTTTTTTAAAAGGAACAGTGCAAAAAAACAAAAACAAAAAAAAACATTAAATACATTTAAAAAAAAAAAGTTTAAAGTGCCCCCGTCCCAAGTTGCTTGCACGTAGTGGTGAACGCATACATAGGCCATGCCCACATATGTAAATGGTGTTCAAACACACACGTGAGGTAGCGCTACGAACGTTGAAGCAAGAGCAATAATTCTAGCACTAGACCTCCTCTGTAACTTTACACTGCTAACCTGTAGAAGTTTTTAAAGCATCACCCATGGCGATTTTTAAGTACTGCAGTTTCACACCATTCCACAAGCGTGACATGTTGGGTATCTATTTACTCGACATAACATCCTCTTACATATTTTACAAAACAATTGGGGTATATATATATTTTTTTTTTTTTTTTTTTTAATAAAAGTGTATTTTTTTTCCAAAAAATATATATTCATTTTTAAAACTGCACATTTCAGTTTTCGGCCAAGTGCATTTTGAATTTTTGGTTTCTGCACCAGAATTTTCATTTTGGTGCACCACTAGAGTCTGCTAGTATCCTGAGATGTTTCTCTGTCTTCCGGGTCTGAACATATTCGGTGGTATCTGATGTTCTGGCTGTGTATGATGGCTCATTTAGTGTGGTGGGGGTGACAACTGTGTCAGTGGGTTTCCTGAACATTGAGGTGTGAAGCTTGTCATTGCTGATGTGTACTGTAGTGTCTAGGAAATTGACATGTGTGTTTTGAATAGTCCATCAGAGATTCTTATGTTAACATTCTGCTAAAACTTTGTGCATTAGTACTCCTTGGACCTTGAAGAAGTGGTTCCACCCGAAAGCTTATCCTGAAAAATTGTATTGCAAATAAAAAAGTACCATGGACGGTACTCAATTGTTTCTGTCGCAAGTGCAGTAATACGGCTTCAATTGCCTCAAACTAGATGGATAGAATTACAAATTATTTATCAGCTAAAAAAGCTCCCGTATATCTATTTCACCTTTGTATTTAGTTTTTACATACCAGCCGTGCTTTAAATGTGACCCCTTCAGGTATTAGTGGGACTTGAAGGTATGAAAACAGGATAGCAAATGTAAACTGTTGGTCAAACTCAGATACAAATACGGTAATTAAATGAAGTGGATTCACAATTAATGGTGTTTTTTTTTTCTTTTTATAATTTCATGATTCTGTAAAGCAGAACATACAGTCAGGTCCATAAATATTGGGACATCGACACAATTCTAACATTTTTGGCTCTATACACCACCACAATGGATTTGAAATTAAACTAACAAGATGTGCTTTAACTGCAGACTGTCGGCTTTAATTTGAGGGTATTTACATCCAAATCAGTGAACGGTGTAGGAATCACAGCAGTTTGCATATGTGCCTCCCACTTGTTAGGGGGCCAAAAGTAATGGGACAATTGGCTTCTCAGCTGTTCCATGGCCAGGGTGTGTGTTATTCCCTCATTATCCCAATTACAATGAGCAGATAAAAGGTCCAGAGTTCATTTCAAGTGTGCTATTTGCATTTGGAATCTGTTGCTGTCAGCTCTCAAGATGAGATCCAAAGAGCTGTCACTATCAGTGAAGCGAGCCATCATTAGGCTGAAAAAACAAAACAAACCCATCAGAGAGATAGCAAAAACATTAGGCGTGGCCAAAACAACTGTTTGGAACATTCTTAAAAAGAAGGAACGCACCGGTGAGCTCAGAAACACCAAAAGAATCGGAGACCATGGAAAACAACTGGTGGATGACTGAAGAATTCTTTCCCTGGTGAAGAAAACACCCTTCACAACAGTTGGCCAGATCAAGAACACTCTCCAGGAGGTAGGTGTATGTGTGTCAAAGTCAACAACCAAGAGAAGACTTCACCTGAGTGAATACAGAGGGTTCACCACAAGATGTAAACCATTGGTGAGCCTCAAAAACAGGAAGGCCAGATTAGAGTTTGCCAAACGACATCTAAAAAAGCCTTCACAGTTCTGGAACAACATCCTATGGACAGATGAGACCAAGATCAACTTGTACCAGAGTGATGGGAAGAGAAGAGTATGGAGAAGGAAAGGAACTGCTCTCATGATCCTAAGCATACCACCTCATCAGTGAAGCATGGTGGTGGTAGTGTCATGGCGTGGGCATGTATGGCTGCCAATGGAACTGCTTCTCTTGTATTTATTGATGATGTGACTGCTGACAAAAGCAGCAGGATGAAATTCTGAAGTGTTTCGGGAATATTATCTGCTCATATTCAGCCAAATGCTTCACAACTCATTGGACGCTTCACAGTGCAGATGGACAGTGACCCAAAGCATACTGCAAAAGCAACCAAAGAGTTTTTTAAGGGAAAGAAGTGGAATGTTATGCAATGACCAAGTCAATCATCTGACCTGAATCCGATTGAGCATGCATTTCACTTGCTGAAGACAAAACTGAAGGGAAAATGCCTCAAGAACAAGCAGGAACTGAAGACAGTTGCAGTAGAGGCCTGGGCAGAGCATCACCAGGGATGAAACCCAGCGTCTGGTGATGTCTATGCGTTCCACACTTCAGGCTGTAATTGACTGCAAAGGATTTGCAACCAAGTATTAAAAAGTGAAAGTTTGATTTATGATTATTATTCTGTCCCATTACTTTTGGTCCCTTAACAAGTGGGAGGCACATATGCAAACTGTTGTAATTCCTACACTGTTCACCTGATTTGGAGGTAAATACCCTCAAATTAAAGCTGACAGTCTGCAGTTAAAGAAAATCTTGTTTGTTTCATTTCAAATCCATTGTGGTGGTGTATAGAGCCAAAAATGTTAGAATTGTGTCCATGTCCCAATATTTATGGACCTGACTGTAGATTAGATCTTGTAAAGCAGAATAAAATATTTGTTCTCAGCCATTTTTTTGCATGCTAATAGCTAGATATTTGTTATCACTTGCATTTTTACATCTTGTTTATTTTAGTGAGTCTCCATTTTTAGTGATACCATTGTGAACCCCCCCCCCCCCCCACACACACACACACATAATCGTAATGTAAGGCTGTTAAAGGAAAAATATTTCCACTGATGGTCAACTGTGATAAAACTGCTTTAAAAACAGACTATTGAAGGAAAATATTGTTAGTGATTATGTACAGTACGTGGCACAGCTACCACTGTAGTGGAACCATCTTTCCTAAAGAGGATAAACTGTTAGATAAGATTTTAGCACATTTTAAAGTGGACTTGCCACTAACAAATATATAGTGACAAATATTACTGAAACATGCTGTTACATTTGCAAAGTATTGTAACCCATATCAATGAATGAGTGATTATCTTTCATTGTTCTGACTCCACAATGCTGATGAAAGGTGAAGCCTGATTGGTCACCATGGAGGAGTTATTAAAACTAGAGCATGCAAAATCTGGTGCAGCTCTACATAGAAACCAATCACCTTCCAGGTTTTATTTTCAAAGCTGAACAAGCTGAAGTTAGAGCCTGATTAGTCACTATGTACAATTGCACCAGGTTCTGAGTGTACCAATTTTAGTAAATCTTCCACTATGAGTTACTGCACAAGATTGATTTTTGTTCTGCCTCGCTAAAGTTACTCTATCACTTAAATAAAATGGCTGTGTGGACATGCACCAGCTTGTAGTCCTGCCAGTTCAGCTGAATCCTTCGCCTTTTCTCTCAGATTTCCCTTAAACCACTACTTTAAAGGAGAAGTATAGCCAAAGCTAGTTTTTTTAAATGAGAAATAGGAACGATTTTTAACACCAAAGGCGTAATACTTGTTATGGATCCAAATTGCATGTTTTTATTACAGTTTATGTATATATTTTGACATTTTTTTTTCATATTGATGGCATTAATTTAACACCAAGTATTAATTCACAGTTTGTGGTGATAATTCTAACAATTATGTGTCATGGAGGTTTTTTTTTTTTTCTTCTCTAGAACATAATGAGTGTGCAACAAACCAGCATAATTGTGATGAAAATG